CATAGATACTAGGATAATGTTGAACCCTATTTTTGAAGTTTTGACATTTAATTTAAATTTAATTTGTCGTTAAAGTATGTGCTTAATTTTGAATGGTTGGTTAGGTACCTCTTAATTAATTGATCACCAATTAAATTATTTTGTGATTTCTTTATCGCAATGCTTTGCACGATCCTTTGTTATGTTTTTGTGATTTTAATTCTTCTTTACATGTTTTGCATCTTTCATAGAGATATAAGAAGATCATAAATGAGGATATGTATAGTTCTACTTGAGAGGGATTATTAAACGAATTAAAAATATTGATCTTCATATCCAAATATGTGTATCTAAATTCTATATTGATATTAAAATGATAAGAGTAGGAGGATTCGAGATTCTAGTATTTATCAATTATTTGAATTTCTTAATCTGGTATTCTAATTAATTAGTTTGATTAGTTATATTAATCAATTTAGATATAAGTATAAGATTGTGTTTCGCGCGGGTTAGTCGCTAACAATTAAAAGGGATCAGACGATTGTGTAAGGGACAAACCTCTTGAGACAAAGTCCCAAAAAGGAGTGTTCTTTTATTGGCGATGACTTTACAATTGGAAATAAAAAACAACGTGCCTCCAAGGGGCGCATGCACACGAGTTACTGAAAGAAAAGTGTTTAAGTCTAAAAATTAAGGAAATGAAAATTACATGTTCTCTGTTCGAGAGTTTTGGATTCGGTCCTTTGCTTCTATATCCTTTCTCCCTTTTATACTTCATGGACGATCTCTTTGTGATCAACCGCTCTAAAAACTGCTTGATCGTCCTATAACTACCCACTTTCTTCGTAATGGCTACCTTGTCATGAAAACTGCCTTTTTAACTGTTGTCATTACCCTTCATCGTTCCACCGCTTTCGATTGTATTCCTTGAATCTTGGAACGTGATAGAGCTGCTTTAATAAATGCTTTGATAACTGCACTTCTTGATAACCACGACGCTTTATATTTGTTAAGACCTTGGGCGACTTGAAGGTTTGGGCGAGAATAGAGTAACAGCTCTGGGCGACTGTATGACATTCCATTCGCTCAGATTCTGGGCGACTTGCAAACTTGGACGATAGCGTTATCGCGTTCTTGGGCCTCCTTATTTGGGCCTTCATCTTGATTTGTTCGATTGGGCTTTGTTATTTGGGCTATCTGATTTGAGGATCCTTCAATTGGGCTTCACTCCTTGGGCTGTTCGATTTGGGCTGAATTTTTATGTGTCAACAGATTGTTAATATAAAATTCCACCAAAAATCTTGCTATTTGATTAACTATATTAATTGCTTAGTTCTCATGGGAAAGATACTTTATTCGCTACTTTATTACTTGACTACGATACCGTACACTTGCACGATTTTAGAAATCTAGTTTTTAGAACTACATCTAAGTACATTAGTAGGAAGTTTTCATACTTGTTCCATTTCTTTGGAATTCTAACTTTAGCAATCCAATTATGGTCTTCCAGTCAGATTTGTGCTATTAACTTGTAATTCAAACTCACTGTGCTATCTGCGAAGAAGATAGGAGTAGATTAGTTCTTTATGTCAAGGAGAATCTAAAACTAGTAAGAGGAAATAATTAACATTGAACAGTGCTATAAACTTAATTTTTATACTGAAATTCATATACATGCACAAAAATTAACAGGTTGACTACAAATTAAGTTTAATTAATGGAGGTTTAATATATCATGAATCTAAAACAACTTCTGGAAAAAAACTAACGAATTTTAATTGAAGAATTAAATTGAACCAAAAGGCAAATATTAACATGAAATTAACTTCATTTACGTTTAGTAGTTGACTATGTTTTCGACCAGTTCAATACGACGTACCAGTTGTACTCCAATTTAATTAAAAATCAAACAGCGTTAAAGATACGGAAATGTTATAAAAGTGAAGAAAAGATAAGAGAGCAGAGAGAAGTCAATAGACTTGTGTATATTTTATTAAGAACCAAAGTTCTGTATTTATAGGACAGAATTTGGGATACAGTAGTAATAATTTATAGGGTTGCAGGGATATAATTGTCATTCACTCTAAACCATAATGCACTTTCTTTTACAACACTCCTCCTTGAAAGACACATTACAAAATATTTGCCTTATTAAAATCTTATTTGATAAAAACCCAATGGGAAAAAAATCAAACGAAGGATTAAGAATACAGTTATTTTGGAGTACTAAAAATAAATGCTGCCTCATTAAAACTTTATTAGGAAAACTCAGTGAAACAAAATCTAAGATAAGGAAAAAGAGTATAACTACTTCCTCTAATGTTGATCACTGAAAATCTTTGAATCGAAGCATTCCAATCTCATGAACTAATTTCTTGAATGTAACTGTTGGCGATGCTTTTGTGAATAAATCGACCATATTCTCACTTCAGTAAATTTGTTGGATATCGACGTCGCCATTCTTTTGAACCTCGTGTGTATGAAAGAATTTTGGAAAAATATGCTTCTTTCTGTCACCCTTTGATATAGCCTCCTCTAAGTAGTGCAATACAAGCTATAGTAGTCAAGAAAAATAAAATGAAATTATGATAATATTTTGTGATAATCTAGCACCACGAGCCTAACCCATTTTAGAAACGACCTATGGAAGCTCAACCCATGTAAGATTACGAAAATCCAAGTCACAAGTTAATTAAAAGCCTAACAATTTAAGAGATTAAGTTTAAGTAAAATTGATTACAAAGATTTAATGAATAACCGGGTTGCCACAATGGTCTTCTACATGGTATTTTATATAGGCAACCCAATTTCGAATTACCATGTAGATGTTTTTTTATAAAACTTTTATATGAATTATTTTTATGGTTTAGAGACTCTTCAAGTTCTTAGTTAAAGACTAAGTTTAATAAATTTAATGATAACACAACTCCCCCACTTAATTTTTCATTAAAAAGAAATATTATAGAAGTGGAAGGTCACTTTTTCACTACACTCTTCTTCAAATCCGAATTTCATCTCATTTTCTCTCAAAAAAATATATTTCATATCAAGTTAAGCTTAAGAAATAACAAGGGTGAGAAGAAGGAAGACTTTCTATACATTTTGTTCTTTTATCTAAGAAAATTCAAGGTAGGTAGATGTGCAAGTGTTCATTCGTTTTCAAATCTAATTTTTTGATAAATGTTTGAATGAAATGGTACCTTCGGGTACGGTGCTTCGGCACTACAACAGTTTGAATGATCATTTTTCGGCTCTACGTGCTATGATAATACTATAGTAATTGGATTTTTTCGGATCTACGTGCGACGGTATGAATCTATAGTTCGAAATTTCTAATTTGATAACGAATTGCACCTGATGATATCTATTGAGTTTCAAACTCAAGGGTTAATTCCCTTCCTACAGATTGAATGAATTTTCCTTGGGGCGTAGATGATGGTAAAGGATGATGCAACATATCATGGAAAAACCGGTGATTTACATCTTTAGTTGATTTTGAGATGTTTACACTTTCTTTAAATTTGATTCCTATGAATATTGTGTGGATCTATTTTACGAACACTCGTTATGAATAAACTATGTTTAAAAGTAGATATGCGTCATAGGAATAAATTTACAAATCACCATATACAAAAAAAAAAAAAAAAAAAAAAGGTTAGCGACTTAAAGTTTTGACGTCTCTTCAGAAATTTCAGTTTCTGTCTCATCTTTAAAAAAAATCATAACTCTTTCGTTACTAGGTATATTTATACGAAACCAATTGGATTGGATAGCCTAATAAGTTAGATACTAAATAAAATTGGAATCATATCAATCCAATATCGATAAAAGGTTATATGTCACATAAAGTAAACTGTACTGGGTGCTGTCTCTATTTTTCAGTTTCTACCCTTATTTTCAAAAATTCATAACTTACTCGTTACTTGAAATTTTTGAATGAAATCAATTGGATTTGATAGTCTCATGGATTAGATACTGAATAAATTTGAAATCATGTAGTTTTGACATCGGTGGAATTTTATATGCCATTTTAAGTGAACTGCACCGGTTTACCTTTCAACCAGGTCGTTGCTGAGTTTTGAAAAATATTTTAATACCTCATATGACGTCGACGGAAGCTAATTTTTGACTATGTCATATTATAAGGAGTTTACTACCTTACATTAAAATTTTATGAAGTTTTAAGGTCAATGGCTATGAAAACAAATTTATTTTGACAATTATTGTTTGAGACAAAAACTAGAACAGTAACATTACTTTTTAAGTTTTGCCAAAATTTCACGTCAATAGTCGTTACATGCAAGGAACTCATTCTAAAAATATTTTTTTGAAATTGTTTTCTTTTAGAATTGAATTATTGTTTAAATAAAAAAAATAAAATTCTTTAATTAATTTCTAAAATTTAATTCTTATACCTTCTAGTAAAAATATATTGAACTAACTTTACGGTTAAGGTACAATGGTTTGAGTGACGTTTCCGTCCATGAGGGTCGGAGCGTTAAAGCGTGGTATCAAAGCACGAGTTTAATCGATTGTGTAGAGTTAATGTATTTTATTTATGAGATGAAAAAAATGAAACATTTAAGGCACTCAATGGCGTCTTGTGTCTATCAGTTGACCTCATCCGACGAACCCAAGGTATGGAATAAAATATTATGTCCGACATTATTTTTTCAGGCATGATTTTTTCATCATTTAAGTTTGAATCTATGAAAATGATTATGATGTTTTGAATGAAATATGCTATGCACATTATATTTTGTTTAAATATACGTGAAGAAATGATGATTGACCATCTTATTAGAACCTCAAGAGCATAATGCATAAGTTGATATCACTAATGAAGATAACACATAATTGGACACTTATGTGACATACATGGCTAGAACCTATCAGACCGCTAGAAAGGCCACAGTTTGTATAGCAGTGTTGAACCGTAGGGCCATCATCCAGTCCTATGAGAACTATGTGACTGACCCGTCTCGTCCACTTGTTGAACACGTACATGATATCTACGGGAGATGTATGGCAGCTGTAGATGTGGACTGGAGATCACGCATATCGAGGCTATGAATAACCTTATACATTCACTTCCACCTCAGTGGAGAAACATGGGAGTCATTGTTAGGGATGAGATGCTAGAGGGTAACCATCCAGAGCACCCAAATACGATTGAATTTGGTATATATTGTCAGACCTTTCTAGACAGATGGAGTGAGAGTTTAGAACTCCAATCGGAGATCGTAATTGAGCCCAATAATGAGGTTGAGCCTGAGCTCAAGCCCGAACCTCAGTTTGAATCAGACCCCGAAGAAGATCCCGGATGGGAGCATGAGGATGACTTTGGGTTGGACTTAGAGAATGATCATGAGCAAGAACCTGAGCCACAAGTTGAGATGGACCTAGAGTCAGGGCCTGAGACAGAAGACTCCTCCGAAGATGAGGCTCCACCGAAAAAGACTCGCAAAATTCATAGGGATTAGAAATTTAGATTTCCATTTCCTTGTGATATCTTTTCCTTTATGTTTTTGAAAAGAATAAAAAAATTGTCGACCTATTGTATGTCCTGATTGCAATGAGTACTATTAATAAAGAAAAATTATGATCAATTTGAGGACTACCTTAATTTTTTAAGTATTCTGGTATTGGCAAACGAAGTTAATTTGAGATATTATATCTTATCTCTAGGAAAATGTCTCGAGCAAACCAGAACAACTTGATAAGGGATCTCCTACAAACGGTTCAAAATCTTGGCAGGCTGAATCAAAATCTCGCTCCACCTACACTACCAGCTCCTATTACTCTTTCGACTCACGCCTCGGTAGTTGAGTTATTTCGAAGGCATAAGCCCCCTATCTTCGATAGAGCATCTGGTCCACTAGTAGTTGAGGAATGGCTTCATAAGCTAGAACGAATTTTTCGACTCATAGACTGCACCGACGCTCAAAAGGTTCAATGTGCAAAGTTTATGTTTACCGGTGATGCAAGTCACTGGTTGGATTCGATGTCCCGAACTAGGACTCCGGAGCAGCAATTGGTAAATAACTTGGGAACGATTCAAGGAGGAAGTGATAAACAAATATTTTCCTCAATCTTTAAGGGATTTCAAGGAGAACGAATTCCTTCCACTCAAGCAGGGTAATATGTTCCTAACGAATTACGAGCGGAAGTTCGATCAACTCACAAGGTATGCTCCACATCTGGTTGACACGGAAATTAAGAAAACTCGAAGGTTTGAGCAAGGGTTAAACCCAGACCTAAGTATGATCCTTATGTCACATCGCTTCACGTCGTACCGTGAGATGCTGGAACGAGCTCACGCTATTTGATATCAAAAGGCTAATGCAGAGCAACATCGTCAATTGTACAACCAGCAGGATAAAGGGCAAATTGGAAAGAGAATGTGGAATGGTCAAGACAAAGGAAAGGGCAAATGGCAAAATAAGAAAGTTAATATCGAATCTAGCGTCAGTAAGGCAATGGTAGCTACAGTAGTGCCATGCCCTAAGTGTGGTAAGCCTCATCGTGGTGAATGCTTGTATTGGAAGAATGCTTGTTTTCGATGTAGCAAATCAGGACATATTGCTAGGGATTGTCCCACATTTGCTCAGAGGAAGGATGATAACAATGATCAGAACAAGAAGGGGAAAGCACGAGTTTTTTCATTGACTCAAAACGATGTAGAGGGGAACTCAAACGTAATAACAGGTATTTTACTGGTAGCCAATACACCTGCTTATATACTGTTTGATTCAAGAGTTACTCACTCTTTTGTATCAACGTCTTTCATTGCTAAATCTAGTATTACTTGTAATAAGTCAAAGAGTACACTAGAAGTTAGCCTCCCCTCAGGCAGGACATTGAACACAGACAAGTTAGCTAAGTTAGTGAAATTCAATATTGAGGGAAAAAACTTAGAAGCTAATTTGTATATGATAGATATGAAAGACTTTGATGTGATTTTGGGCATGGATTGGTTAGGATGTAATTATGCGACCATTCATTGTATAGAAAGGGAAGTGTCTTTTCAAAAACCAGGAGAAGAACAATTTTCTTTCCTCGAAATAAAGACCAAACCCCATCTCCAACTGGTTTCGGACTTACAAGTCGAGAAAATGTTGAGAAAAGAAACATCTCAAGGGTTTCTAGTTAATAAACCCCATACAGAATGGCCCCAAAGGAACTTCAGGAGTTGAAAATCCAGTTACAAGAATTGTTAGACCTTGGTTTTATTCGACCAAGTGTATCACCATGGAGTGCACTAATATTGTTTGTAAAGAAGAAAGATGGAAGTATGAGGATGTGTATCGACTATCGGGAGTTGAACCGTTTGACCATTAAGAATAGGTATCCTCTCCCTAGAATTGAGGATTTGTTTGATCAATTAAAAGGGGTTAAGGCATTTTCTAAGATTGATTTACGATCTGGATATCATCAATTGAAGGTTAAGGTAGATGATATACCTAAGACAGCTTTCAGAACTCGTTATAGACATTACGAGTTCACAGTTATGCCACTCGGATTGACAAATGCTCCGGCAGTGTTCATGGATCTGATGAATCGAGTATTTCATCGGTATTTAGATCAATTTGTTATAGTCTTCATTGATGACATTTTGATATACTCCAAGAGTAAAGATCAACATGATGAACATCTTAGAATAGCGTTAGAAATACTACATAAGGAAAAGTTATACGTCAAATTCAAAACGTGCAAATTTTGACTTGAACGAGTTGGATTTCTCGGTCATGTAGTTACTGTCCAAGGAATTGAAGTGGACCCAGTAAAGGTGGAAGCAGTAACTAATTGGAAGACACCGACTAATGCTGGTGGAATTCAAAGTTTTCTAGGATTGACTGGGTACTATAGAAGATTTATAGAGGGATTCTCCAAAATAGGTGGACCAATGAAACAATTGACAAGGAATTCAATAGATAGATAAGTGTGAGCAAAGCTTTCATGAGCTAAAACAACGATTGATCACAGCACCTGAATTAACCATACCTGAAGGTTCAGAAAGGTTTGTTATATATAGTGATGCATCCAAGCAAGGTTTGGGATGTATGCTGATGCAGCATGGAAAAGTAATTGCCTATGCTTCAAGGCAATTGAAGCAACAAGAGCAGAACTACCCGACGTATGATCTAAAACTTGCGGCAGTAGTTCATGCATTAAAGATATGGCGCCATTACTTATATGGAGGGAGGTGCGATATTTATACGGATCATAAGAGTATCAAATATTTCTTCACACAGAAAGAATTGAATATGAGACAGAGACAATGGTTGGAGCTAGTGAAAGATTATGATTGCACTATTTATTATCATCCGGGTAAGGATAATGTTGTTGCTAATGCTCTAAGCAGAAAGTCCATGGAACAGTTGGCATCATTACCTACTATTTCGATGGAGTTGATCAAAGACTTGGAAAAGTTGCAAATTGAAGTGATTACCCCACCAGAACAAGTCACTGCTCATTTAGCAACTTTGGTGGTTCGACCTACTCTTACAGATCGGATCATAGAAGCACAGGATAAAGACCCATTCTTGCAGAAGATCAAGAACGAGATTGGTATTGATAAGAGAAAGGATTTTGGAATAGCTTTGGATCAGGCACTAATGTTCAAAGGAAGAATTTGTGTACCAAATGATGAAGTTTTGAGGAAGGAGATATTGGAGGAGGCTCATTCCACCCTGTACGCCACACATCCTGGTGGTACAACAATGTATCGAGACCTTCGAAATACATATTGGTGGGAGAATATGAAAAGAAGTATAGGTTCATTTGTGGAAAAATGCATAGTATGCCAACAAGTTAAAGCGGAACATCAAAGACTAGCAGGGTTATTAAATCCATTAGACATACCTGAATGGAAGTGGAAGAATATCGCAATGGACTTTGTGGTAGAATTTCCAAGGTCAGCAAGAAGACAGAATGCTATATGGGTAGTAGTGGATCATCTAACAAAGTCCACTCATTTTCTTCCAGTAAAAATGACATTCAGTCTAGATCAGCTGGCGCAGTTGTACATTAGAGAGATTGTAAGATTGTATGGTGTCCCCGTGTCCATTGTATCTGATAGAGATCCGTGATTTACGTCAAAGTTTTGGAAGAGCTTACAGGAGGCTACGGCAACGAAATGGAATTTTAGTACAGCATATCGCCCTCAATCTGATGGTCAATCTGAAAGAACCATTCAAACTTTGGAAGATATGCTAAGGGCTTGTATTCTGGATCTAGGAGGCAGTTTGGAATCGTATATACCTCTGGTAGAATTTACATATAATAACAGTTTACAAGCAACTATTGGAATGGCACCGTATGAAGCTCTCTATGGTAGAAAATGCAGATCACCTGTTCATTGGGACGAAGTTGGAGAAAAGAGAGTTTTGGGACCAGAGATCATTGAAAGAACAGTTGAAGTCATTAATAAAATCCGTACCAGGATAAAGGCCGCGCAAGATAGACAAAACAGTTATGCAGATACTAGGAGAAAAGACTTGAAATTTGAAGTTGGAGAGAAAGTCTTTCTAAAGGTGGCACCAATAAAGGGTGTACTTAGGTTCGGCAAGAAAGACAAACTACAACCTCGTTATATCGGACCTTTTGAAATACTTGACGGGGTTGGAAATGTGGCAGAAAAGAAGGTCAAACAAAGACTTAGCATTAAAATTTTAACTTTCATATAAATTCGTCGAATGTCATTTTATACTAATTTATTATCATTTTTGTTCAAGGTTCAACTTTAATTATCTACATAACAAGTACGTAAGATTAGACTTTACCAAAAAAGTATTTGAAATTAAGCACATGTTTAACACTCATTAAAACAAATTTTTTTTCTCAAACTCATTTTTTAATCATACATTCTCCTAATAAAATATTTTGAACTTAAACTTAAAACTTTTTTCTACCTTTTCAACCACATATTCTTCAAAAATCACTATTTCATAACTTATTTTTTCCGCGAAAAAAAATTTCATTTTAATGGTTGTCAAACGAGGGCTAAGTTTTTAAAAAGTAAATTTTGTGCAATGAAACAAAATATCTAGATTTAGTCCTTGTTTGATTAAAATCTAAATTTTAATCTAAATAAAGTTAAAAATTGATTTTAATTAAATATTTCATGGTACCCAACTTTTCAACAATACATTTCTTTATCTTTTATCAAAATAAACTAAAAAACTAATTTTAATAGGTTAGCAATATCTTTCTGTTTAGTTCGAGCTTAAATCATGGCAGCAATTAAATTTTTATAGTTTTATTCCAACTCCGTGTGGGCCCCCTATAAATATGTAGTTTACAACTATGCATCGATATTATTTTTATATATCCATAAAGACTTTTAATTCTTAGGGCTAAAATTCTACTTTTTTATAGATTATCGTTTGGAAGCTAACGCTGTTTATCCATTAATTATGTCCCTTTGATCAAATCAAACCATACTCGTATTGGCCCAAGCTTGCTATAAATAGGTGCCACT